CAGTGCTCAGTTTTACAATTTAAAAACTCAAACACTTCTCATGCCATCTAGGTGCATTGTTAGCGAACAGGAATCGTGGCAACAAAATGTATGCAAACCTTTATGATAGCATTCTAATGCGCTTGTTGTGGATTATTTTTTTCTTGTTGAGAAGCCAAATGATGGTACGCGCAGTTCTTACTAGGCCTAAACAAGATGGCGATGCGTTTTGTGTTGATGTATTGACATTGAAGATTTATTTCGCTCGGTCCCCCACGCAGAGTTTTCAATTGTAAGAAACCATATTGAGCGGAATGGCCTCCTTGCCTTCGAGAGCGCCACTGTAATTTTTGTTGACAACATCATCACGTTGCTTGAGATTTAGCAGTGTTGCCCCGCCACGTTGGTCTAGTCGCTAATGTGCTCGGCTGCTGACCTGCAAGCCGCGGGATCGAATTCCAGAAGCGGCGGCTGCGTTCCCGATGGAGGCAGAAATGTTGTAGGCCCGTGTGCTCAGACTTGAGTGCAAGTTTGAGAACCCCAGGCGGTCAAAATTTCCGGAGCCCTCCACTACTGCGTCTCTCATAATCATATGGTGGTTTTGGGACGTTAAACCCCACATATTCATCGATTTAGCAGTGCTCCACATTCGTGTGTCACGATAGTCTGGTATACATTGAAAGAAAAAAGATCTACACAGGATCATGCATAGCGTCTTTCCCATGAAGCATATTTCCAGAAGATTTTGGCGGAGAAGTGGCTCACGTTATTAACAATTAAGTGAAGATTCTAAGTATGTGTAATACTTTTTACTTATCTTCTAAGCTAAACCTTCTTTGACAACTACTAACTCTGAGGGTGAGTTTACGGCGCTTTTTAGACAACTTGCCAAGAGAGTTCTTTTTACGCATGAGCTTCCTGCTGGCATTTTGTTGAAATATTTAAACCCGAGTGTTCCTTTCTCGGAGACACAAACGTGTAGGACATATTTGTCCGCGTGCGCGCAAGGCACTTCTACGGTTTGATTCACACATTCGAAACTTGTCACAACGGCTGTTGTTTCCTAGTGCATGGACGGAGCATTGTTGAAATTTTGTACGCATAGGATGCAGCAAGGTTTCATTATGGAGGTCACGCGGCTGCAATGAGCTGGTTACCCTGGTTCTGTAATCATTGCAGACTCAGAAATCTCTCTCGAAAACAGAAGGGGTCGGTAAGAAATAGCCGTTGCTGAAAAGCCGCTGCTTGTGTTATACTTGCACAAGATGGCTCAAAATCTTTAAAAAAACGTGGTACAAGGTACCTTTGGTGTTATGGGCTCCCCGCAAGTTGGCTAGCCTGGGCCCACGAAGTTCTACTGCACCAACGCCCTTCTCTCCCTCCCACCTTTCTGGGACAAGGCACGCCAGGCAGTCGCCTTCTCGGTTCACGAGGCGTACGAGATCCCGATTGGTTCCCGCAGGCCAAACAGGCCGCTCCATAAACGACACAATTAGGGACCATGAATGTTCAGCCAAAAATGAAGTTTCACCAAATTTGCCGGTGTTTCCTACAAGCGTAAGCCTGGATTTTCCAGACTCTCCGTTCTTGAACAGAGCAATGATGTCGCAGCGCACAAAATTATGAAAGTATACAACTATAAAAAGAAATCATGATATGTGTATTATTTGTATATCTGGTGCTCTAGAAAGTGGTGACTTTACTTTCTTTGAATTCTTTTCTATTTAGCGACTTTTTGTAATCATTTTTTGTCAAAATTATTATGTGTTTCCTGACGACTATGGTAGGGTATGTGTGCGCGAGTACGGTTAATACGATTCTATTTTTCACTGATGTTTTGAGTAGAAAGTTAGTTACCGGTGACATCCTTTATGTTTTATCTTTATTTTTTTTCTTGATGATACGTGCCTTTTTGAGTCTCAGTAAGTATCTCTTGAGGCAGATTGGAAACCGAGGAGCCAGTCAGCAAAAATAAAGCCCGTATTCATAAATAGACTTTATTTTTGCCTCGAGTTTCCTTTTTTTTAATTTTAAGTGTTCATTGCTCTTTATGAACAAAGTAGGCTAGTATTGAAGAACCAATGTTGTTATTTTGTTTTACGCTGTTATCATTTTTGCGCCCTCAATAGGCAAGTAGAAAGTAAAGAGACTCGATGAAAACATGAGCTTAGGTCAATGTGGGTTTCTGAATACAGGCCAAATTTTTTCGGTTCCCCTCAGCATAGACGTAAAATCCAAGGGTGCAGAGTTTTAAATGGATGTCTTACAAGGCTATCTACTACACATGAACCCTACGCCTACGCCTCAATAAACCGGGTCACCTGGAAGCTTGTTGACGCCACGCGTGGTGACCACAAGAAGGGGCTACTGCGGCACACTGTGGGAGAACGTTCCCTCTTGGAAACTAGTGGCGAACAACGTGGCACGCAGGTCAGTTCAGAACAGAAGCATACTGACAGCCACAGTAGGGGCACTGACCACCAGTGGCAGCTGGTGGGTGGTGCTCAGTTGAAAGGTGAGAATCGGACATTTTCGTTATGCATTCGTGTTTAACGTTGCACTAAAGACTAGTGGCTGAGGGCCTATCCACTGTTGTGAGGAAGATGCGCTAGTTGGAGGCTGGGGCAAGGCTCGCAAGAGATATTACTTCTTCGTTTTCCTGCAAAATATTATTACGTCTTTTGTCAGGTTGTTTCTAAAGGCAGGAATCACTTCGGCGAAGACCTTTAAAAAGCAATGTATACAGTTGCTTACCTCTCTACAGTACATATAGTATTGCATCAATCTATATCGCCTTCATTGATTATAGTAAAATAAGATGGCACAAAGTCTCTGAATGGGTCGAGGCGGATGGGGGGGGGGGGGGGCATGTTGCGAGTAATACTATTTTTACTGTTTCTTGGTACTGTAACTAATCGTGCTAGGCTTTCTGCTGCAGTATCAATTTAAACTCATCATTTATTTTGCTCGCGCAAGTAAACACTTTACCACCAGAGCTTTCCGATACAACGCAACCTCGCTGATTTTACTGTATTGTGATTCTACTTTTGCAATTATCCGACAGAAAGATGAATTCATTACCATTTTAGCGCTTCATATCAGGCGTAGAAGGTGCCAGAAGTGTCATCATCTTAGGACTGGTCATATTTTACCACGCATTACTGCTTGTGGCTTTTCAGCCCTGCTCTTTTTATTATGCTAAGCCAGTCGTTAACAGCACAATGACGAAGCAATGACAGCCTGTGCTGACGCGATTCGAAGTTCATCCCAATATTTGATTACCTATACTGTTTTACAAAACAGGTTGTTCGGGATAAAGCTTCCTACAATAGTTGCTTGAGGTAGCTGTGAAAAAGCGACCGTTCAATCTAAATAGGAGTCGCGGGTAAAGCATGGATCTACCTGTTCTTCTTTCTAGCCTCTTTGAAAAAACTGGAGTCTTGGTTTATTGTTGTATTTTCGCTTTTGTTTTGTATAAAATATGGCTCGTTTTGAACTTCGCGACATTAGCTGCGCCTAGGGGAGCTGCAGTAGAATCGCCAGATTCTTCGTACACGACATTGTTTTTCCTCATGGTTCTCATCACCGATTGCGGAGCAGCATTTACTGCAGAATTATTGGAACAGGCGACCAAGCTTACTCAAACCAACCACCAGACGACCACAGTCCAAAATGTTGAAACCAACAGCTCGACAGAGCTGTCAAACGGACACTAGCTGACATGCTACGTATGTGATATAGAGCAGCAAATGGTGGGATGAAATTTTGCCGTACGTAACGTTTGCTCAATACAGCTGCGCAGCAAACCACCATGCTAACATCATTCGAGCTTGTTTATAGATGTCACATCAAAACACCATTAGACGCCATGCTCCCAGGAGACTAGGACCGAAAACGCTGTACTGCACCTGCATGCAAGATGATACTGACACGCGGTGCTGCAACCTTGGCCGAAGGAACGTCCACAATCAATCAGGCGAATACGTATGGGTTTGGACAGCTATCCGACCTCGTGGACACTCCAAAAAAACTATTGCGGCGCTATTTTGACCTTTACGAAGTTTTGCGCTGCTTCAGTGACAATATCTACGAGTTGGCACCCCAGAGCTGCGATACCAGTTTAAGCCGACGACGTCCATATGCGCAGGTAGTCAAAGCGATACAAATAAAAGCATACCTCGTCCGCCATGGGTGAACTCTTCTCACTTTTTTTTAATATGTACACTATCACTGTAGTTAATTTTTCGTGACGTGGCCATTTTTCTTCATAGGCATATGACACATTATAGTCAATCGACTACAGCAGTCGTTCGTCATAGAAGGGCAAATAATGCGAAGTAGACTGGCAGCTATATTGGCCAGCCTGTCGAAGGAGGACAGCGAAGTGGTTGGGTGTCCGTGTTCTATGGTGTTGACAATGTTGCCCAGAGAAAACGCCCTCTCTTGTATTCATGTGTTCGTGTCTTCCAGCTTTGTGACAATAACATCGCAGGGCAATACGAAAGCTGGTGCTAGAACAAATGAAGGCGAGTGCTTCCACGCGGACAGCAAGACCCTTCCTCGATAACTCAAAAACATATCGGGTTTCGCGTCACTAGCGAGTAATAGCTAAGCGGCTCAGCGGGCCAGCGGGTTCAGCGGATGAGGGGAGAGGGCAGCGGAGCGCAAGACGGAAAAAAGAGTAATATCTGAGCGTTGCCTCTCTCTTTTAGCGGATCGCATTGCTGCGCCATCTGTTGAACAAAGTTGAAGTTACTCTCTATCGAGCAGAGTCTTTGCTGCGTCACCTGCCGAATGAAATTGACGTTACTGCGAAAAGAATCTCACGAAAGGCATTTTTTATTACGTAGCAGGTGTTAAGCGGAAATAAATTTTTGTTTTTTCTGCATGACTTGATGTTCGCAGTGGTTTGAATGCATGACGAACTGTTCTACGTTGGAATAAAAAAGTCGGCGCGGAAAGGTTGCAGGTGAAGCCAAGCCAAGCAATCGAGTGGGTGTGTTTTTAGCGGCACTGTTGTTGCAGTGTTTTGCAATTCGTTGCTGTTGGTGCTATGCCGCGAAGCGTATTGCAAGACCCTTTGCTTCTCTCTTAACTCAAATGGTCGGAGATAGAAGATCTAGTAGCACTAGAGGTGCTAGGCGAGACTCTCTGTGAACTACTTTTCTCCCGTGGCCTGCTCAACATTGACGCTATGGACAAGGGCATGTTCCGAATTTGTTTTCGTTTTCAGAAAGAGGACATAGTGAAGGTACGAGTAGCTTTGCGCATTCCAGAAACGGTTATTACTGCTCAGAGAGTGCCGATCTCAGGAGACGAAGCCCTCTGCATTACTCTTCGACGGCTGGCCTATCCGAACCGACCTAAAGACCTCGAGAACTTTTTCTGCCGACACAGCTCGACAATATCGTCCCTGACGATAGAGGTCTTGAGGTACATCGATGAGAAGTTTTCCCACTTGCTGGACGATGTGAATTATCACAGCTGGCTGACCATCGACACGCTGGAGAATTTCTCGAAGGTAAGGAGCAATGACAGCAGAATGAAAGCTGCATTTGTGCAAATTGGAGATTGTGGTATACCTGTTGACTTTTCTGCGTTTGTTTTTCAGGCCATTTACGCTAAAGGAGCCCCTCTTACCAACTGCTGGGGCTTCATTGATGGCACTGCGCGTGCTATATGCCGACCAACCAGGCAACAGCAGCTGTATTTCAGCAAACACAAAAGATTTCATGCCCTGAAGTACCAATTCATAATGTGCCCGAATGGCATCATTTGTCAGTTGGATGGATGTTATCCGGGCAGCAGGCACAATGCTGGTGAGTAAAGGGTACTTCATATGCCTGGAAGTCACATTTTCCTTCATTTTGCCGTGACTCTGTCAAGTACAGCAAGTATCCAACAAAACTGGTCAAATTCTTTGGGCTACAGTTCGTTTGAGATATATTCTTTCCTCACAAACTATGGTGCTGACTTACAGCTTAGTCAAACTCACATTAGATCATTGTTAGTTAGATTGGAATACACCAGGTTAAGTGGCATTCACTTAATCCAAGAAAGGTACCTCAGACATGCATATAAATTCTCACAGCGCAATTCGACTGCAGCTTTATTTAGTCACTATAAAGTGACCAAGGCTCTAAACCCTCATGAATTTTGTCTTAGTGTGGTATTCATGTCAAAAATAAGAAATAATATTGCCAGCCTTAGGAATTTAGCTGAACTACGTAAGGCTTGAGTAGGCTATTCAAGAATACGTGGCAAGGAAAAGTTAGTGATGAAGCGTGAACTTTATGTCTGAAATGAACACCTTTATTATACGCTTGCGTCTTTCAATAAGTGCTATGCTGTCATTGATTTTAGTTTGTTTTCCCTCTGCTACGAATGACTTCCCACTGTATTGAATTAGCATGCCTTAGGTTCACTTATGTGTGAACAATGCTGTTTTCTGTATTCTTTGGTGTAGCCTAACAGACTTCTCTATTTTAAATTCTATATATAGCTTTACTACTTCCTCCTTGTTGAACATCGATCTTGCAAGAAGAAAAAATTTTTTGTAAAATAAGTAGATGCATTGAGAGCCTGCTAGGGCATCTCGCCTATTCTGCTGCTACTTTTATATTCTGTACCACACATGCACCCAATGTTTGAACAGCAGGCGTAGTGGTGCTAACACTGTATCTCATTTCAATTTTTTTCAGGTAACTTTGGCAACAGCCAGGTCTACACTAAACTGGAAAAGCTGGTGCAGGGACACCACTACAGTCTTTACGGGGATCCTGCTTACCCATTGCGGCCACTTCTGTTGAAACCTTACGGCGGTGCATCTTTGACCCTGAAGCAATGTGCGTTTAACAATGCAATGAGCAGCGTGAGGCAGGCCGTGAAATGGGGCTTCGGAAAAATTGTTGGACTCTTTGCCTTTGTAGGTTTCCGAAAAAACCAAAAGATCTTCCGCCATAATGTTGCAAGGATGTACAAAGCGAGCGCATTGCTGGCAAACTGCCATACTTGCCTGTATGGTGCACAGGTCTCACAATGCTTTGATCTGCAACCACCATCCTTGGAAGTGTACTTGAATGCCCGTTAACATTAGGGAGAGCTTTCAATGTGGCACTGGGGAATTCCATTGCTTATTAAAAGAATAAAGTGTGCAACAAATCACCTTTTTATTATTCAACTGCTTCCAGTCATTTTTCTTCTTAGGTCTGTTACTTCTTGGCTGAGTTTATTGAAAATCTGTTCCACGTGCTTCACAAAGTCCAGGCGTTTTTGCTGGCGACTTGTAACATCAAGTTCATGCATATTTTCGACAAGTGCCAGCTTGCGCTTCTCTAGAGCTAGTCGTCTCTCTTCAATGTCCAATTTTCTGTTTTCCACTGCAACTTCCCTTTGCCGGATCTCAAATTCATGCGCTTGACGCATAGTCAACAATTGTAAGCCCATGCTTTGTAGGCCTGTGATTCCTGCAAGTTTAGGAAAATGAGGCCATTCAGTAAGTCAGTTCACATACGCATATCACGTGTCATAGAAAGCTAATTTGATGGACTCGTAACACAAACATATCAGCCTTGAACTCTATGCTATCATACATCATTTAGTGATAATCTGTTTTGTGTTTCAGCAGGGTGATCCCCGAAGATTGATAACATCTCAGCCGTTGCTAGGATCCTGACATTTTGTGTAACGACAAAATAAAAACTGTTCAGTTACTGCTAATTACAAGTGTTCAATGTAGAGAGAGGGTCAAAGTTTCCAGCTGTCGTATGCTAACCTCATCCAAAACTTCCACTTATGCGTGGTAAAGAAAGCAATCACTCTTTTCACCTTGCTTGTAGTACATACAGATTGTAAATCATGGCCGTGACCCGCATCACAGTGTTGTGCTAAGTTACTTTTCAGAGTTGTGACACTTGTCCAAGAATAACACTAACGACAACCATTCATGTGTCTATGCCTGCATGCCATGTGCATTTTAAACGTGATGTTCACATGCTACCAGTGTTCTAGCAATGAATGTAAAGTATTGGGCTAGTTGGTCTTGCATATAGTGAAACCAGGGAGCCCAATGTTCTAGACTCAATGTTCATTTTAATCGTGATGTTCACGTGCTACCAGTGTTCTAGCAATGACTGTAAAGTATTGGGCTAGTTGGTCTTGCATATAGTGAAACCAGGGAGCCCAATGTTCTAGACTCTACAGAGACATCATGTTGCTCATTTGTACTGCACCTTGTGGCAATATTGCACCATGTTACGACGTGAATAAAGAGTCCTTCAAGATTTACCTCTACTCGCCGTTACAGGAACTCGTTGCCTAGCTGCAAGCGGCGGTTGTGAGTGCAGCTGCTGCTGCTCTTGTTGATGCTGCTGTTGTTGTTGTTGCTGTTGTTGCTGCTGCTGCTGCGGGTGTCTGTTCCTCCTCCTCCTCGTTGCATGGCTGTCTAGTGAGTTCAACAGCAGCAGGACTGCGCAGGGCGGTCATTGAGAGCAGGAGTTGTGCAGCATGTCCTGATTGTAATGCATAATGGAAAACAGGGAGATGCCACATAATAGCACACTAGCACATTCTATTACAACTATGGCACATTGGGAACCCCCAGTAGAGAATAACTTTCTTGTATTACAGTAATGCATAGCCGTTCAAATGGCTAACTAATGTAATGAATGAATATTGTGAGCTCACATGCGAATCACACTTTGAAAGTTTACTTTGCATGTTCTAGGTAATGTTAAATAGTAAACCAACTAATACAGACTTACTTTTACTCAGAACCACAAATGAACAATGCGCACTGTTGTTATGCAAGTTCATAGATTGACAACTTCATTAATGAGTTAGGTCGATATACGATAATGCACCTGCTGCTCGGCATCACTGCAAACTATTGATTTTCATTGCTGTCACTATACGAATCAATAGAGTTGGCAGGCAGGGCAGAAAGAGTGTTGCAAATATGCAAGCACGTTATAGAATGCGAGATACTTCAAGTGTCGCGAGATATTGCGTAGACATGCCTATGATCGTAGAACCAATTTATTGATTTTAGAGATATGAGGCTTTGGAGACATAATTTATATGCCTTATATATTCCGACAGGTCCTGCAGTATCTGCTCTTTTTCGGCGTATTGTTCCTTCGTTCCCGACCTGCAAAGCGAAATGCGAGCATGTTACAGGAGGCATGCTTTTCTCTAAAACAAGTCTCTAAATACCCGCACACCCTAGCGGTACGGCGATGGCTCTCAAAAAAGATGCCGAATTGGGACGAATACATTGCTGTTGAAGCTTAAGGACATGAATCTAAAGCGAGTGTAAGCATCGATTCGGAGCTTACAAGCTACAGAGCGCACGGCGGCCACTTGATAGATTCGACGTAGACGACCAGAGTTTGCTTTTGACAGTGCGACTATGTTTGACGGAGGCGCGAACGGCTTTAAGCCTTGCCGGCGTTGCCGTGCACGTTGGACAGCTCTCACGTGGGATTAAATGCTATCTGAGCGGAAAATACATGAAAATTGGTACTTTCCTTCCTAATATCTGGTGTCTTCTTGCCTCCAGTAACTGATTAAAAGATCTACAAGATCTTTTAAGCTTCTGAGAGTAATCTCCCGGCCGAGCGCAGGTTTTAAGTTGCCAATCATACGGATCCACTGTAAATCGTCGCCAAAGGGCTTCACCGCTGACACTTCCCTCAAAATTGCCAGGTCATCTTCAGCAGTAAACCACCGCCGGGGCCTTTTCGCCAGCAGCTGAGCCTCCGCAGCGCTTGGAGGTGCCGCCGAAGACATGCCGCCGCCGGTTGTGTTGGAGGCTGCCATTTTGAACACGCTCGCACGCTCGTCCGCTTCTCTGAGGAGACAAAATGAGCGGGTGAGCGACTCTCTCCACAAAGACGCTGGGTGCCCCGGCGTGCCGCACATGCACAGCTAGCATCTCCGCTGCTCCGCTGGCCCGCTGAGCCGCTTAGCTATTACTCTCTACAGTTCAACCTTGTATTGTGCTTGGCTGCGTAACCGCGTAAAACAGCCAAATAGCATTAGGGGTGCAGCTCATACTGAGCACGACTACCTCTTTGATTTTTCCGTGCTGCCCCAGGCCCATTTGGCAGGATTTGCAACGAAGGCACGTCCCCAGTCTAACTAGCTCGGATTCCTAAATTGGGTATGAAGGACATAGCACATGAACCCTAGGAGGCCCTGCTACAGTGAGAGTGATGTGTGTGTATGTGTACTTCTTCTACATCCCTATCGTGATTCGCTATTCCCTCTATACCTTTAATATGAGTCGGGAGAACTCATATAGTGAGAAGAGCCTTTGAGATGGAGAAAAATATAGCTACATTTCTGCTAGGGAAATCGCCACTATGCTGTCGTAACGTGAAAGAGGCGGATCAAAACTGTCACGCCCGAAATTCGCACACAGAAACTGAGGATGGCAAATGTATACTAAAAGATCTGTGAGCTGGTTAAAACGTTATGCTCGAGAAATATGTAAATTCTCCTTATCCTACCAGAAGCATTCGGTAGTAATCTGTAATTATCGTGTGCGATGACATGTTTAGTACGAAGGATGACAGGGTAATGTAAATAAATATTAGCATAGCTAAGAGTATTCAGGAGAAGAGTTGCGTAAAGTATGTTGAATAACACTTATAAATGACTAATATAGCTAACTATTTTTAGCCCCAAAAGTACTTGTCCGATGGTTTATTTTATTGTAACAGATTATTCAAAAATAATAAATATTGTTATGAGACAATGTCCCACAAAAGTGGTTAGATAGGTGCGGAGAAAGACTACATAATTTTGGTGTAGGGCCTCCTATGTGGGTATGCGCCAGGGTAAGAAAGATCATCATCATCATCTGCAGCTCTTGTTCTCCATCTGCTTGCGCGTTGGCGTGGTGTAAATATATCTTGAAACGCCTAGTATCGCGTGTACCTTCACGTAACAATATAACAAAATGAAAGTTTGCCAACACTTCATGCAACAAATGAGGATATGATTCGGTGAATAGATACCTTCATAGATGCCTTCGATTTTGAAGAACAGGATGAATTAATGACTTGAGATCGCGGCTGAACCGCTAGACCTAATTTGGGAAACTAAAGTGAAGACTAGATGTGCCTAATTCTCTTCCCAGTGAAGTATGTTTCGAATTTGACACAAGGGAACTAGAATACCAGCATAATCGAGGATTTCCTCGCACAATGCCTTTGTATAAAACACAAAGGTTAAAACTTATTACAGATGAACTAGTTTCACAGTGTGTTAACATCACCTCGGGCCGCTTCGAGTAGAAGTCTACCGCAACTATGGCATGCCGATAGTTTATCGGGGTTGAATAAAGCGGACCTACTATGTCTACAGACACCATAAGCCAGGATTGCAGTGACCAGTTGAAACTAGGCCGACTTCTGAGCACTTGAAAAGTTTTTTTCATTTGTTTGCGTACTGATCGACATGTTTGTGGAAAGCTGAACACGAGTAGGTGCTGTAACCAAAGAAAGAGGTTTCGTACGCGACAAATGCTGGGAGGTTGGCTTAAATCAATTTTCCGACCTGCAACGCAGCGCTATAAGTAAGGGAAGGGGGAGACATGAAAAGTAGAAAAAATGAACTTTTGATGAGAATGAATGTGATGATAGATAGAAACCTTGAGTGAAGTTCAGAGAAGTGGGTGAAAGCTGAAACTTTTGCATGCGTATGTCAACAAACGTGACTTCGTCTTGCTAGTGGCGCGCCCGCTAGATGGGGCAGTTCGTGAAAAACGTTTCAATATTCATGATTCGTCTGAATTTACCAGCCGGAAATGATATGTTGCCTATTGCTGTCGCCGCATACAATTTTTTTCTATTTGGCTGGCAATCTTGGGCCCGGAAATTTTGTTTAGTGTCCTATTAAGCCATTTTCGATGGGGGCAGCGAGTATGCAATGTAGCCTTCCACGATTTCATCCACAGTTTATGAAAAATAAGGCTTTCGTAATGGCGAGCCGTTGTTACCCTATCTAGCACATGAAGTAGAATCGGTGAACACTAGAGGCTGTCATGATCTTGAATATAGTAAACAAGAGCAACCCAAAAATATA